TTGGAATATCGCAAAAAAGAAAAGTCAAACTAATTACAGTGACTCTAACTACTGATTATTTTAAATGCAGGAACACATAGTTATATGCACGAAGCCTATTTAATAAAAAAATATTTTACTGCATGAAGAGGTTGGACGTTCAATTGCTTTTAAATCTATAACTTTTTTTAAATTTAATTTTCATGCACATTATTTTTCTTCAACTTTTCTTGAAAATAATTTGTTTTGAATATCACTGACATAGTGCCTCATAGTGAAAAAAAAATCTCCATTTTTTAGGAGATCTGGCCCTGACATTCTCTTAAAAAGTCTATTTTTTTCATATTTTGTACAATTAAACGTTGGTATATGATTTTAAATTTTTTGATAATACTGTACAAGCGTTATATTTTTTAAATAAAATATTTGAAAAAATTACTATTATTATTTGTTTTATTCTCAAAAATACGTTTTTAGTAGATTTAAATGCCTTGTTTTATAATAATACATGTAATTATATTTTATTTTTTCTTCACTTATAAAAAAATATTTTTCAGTTACTTAATTAGAGTAATCTTAGTTTAAAAGAAAAGTCTAAATTAAGATGAAACCCTTCTTTTGCTTCTAATTACAAAGTAAATGAAAAGAAAAATAGCTTTTCAATCCCTACATTTCCTTTTCCCAAAAAAAAGTTTAGAGACCACCGAATACTCTAGAATTTAATTTCTTCCACCATCGTACAGTATTACCACTATTAAAAAGAAATAAGTGTACGGAGAAAGCAGAAATTTGATAGAAAAGGACAGCATCGCTAATCTAATCACGTTTTCTACAACGCTAAAAAACAGCTGTTGTTGGTTAAGAAAACAAGGATGAAAACAGAAAAGTTTCAGATGTTTGGCGGTGAAAGGAAGTATAAAATGCTACATTCTTTGAGAAAAAAATATGCTCACCTGCAGATTATCTCAGCTCTTGCGCTTCTTTTCTTGTAAGATCCTAAAAACATCCATCGGAAGTCCTACAGGACTTGGGATAATATAACGGAAAAAATCGAATTTGGCTTAATCGGTCAAAATAAAAACATTTATTGATTGAGCGATGGTAACACGAAAATGTACTTTATCCTCCAATAAAAGGTGTACAGGGATAAAAAAAAGAAGCGTAATGCACGTGTCTGAGCCAAAGAAAAACAATAGAATTCGAAAAAAGGAATAAAAATATCTAAACGTCTTTTTTTTCGGAAAAAGAAATTATGGAATTTTCAGCTTATAATATGAAAAAGAAAATATTCAATCCTTATTAGCTTCATTTCAGCAAGTATATATGCTAACCATAAAAAAAATTTATTTATATTTCTTTAGATAATTTTAAAAGAAATTTGACTTAAAACCATTTAACCTCAAATAAATAAATAAAATTTTCAAATCGTGTTTAGAAGAAAACTTTTTCACCATGAAAAAAAAAAGCTATTTTAGTATCATTAAAAGAATATAAGAAAAGATGTACTAGTATAATAAGGCATTAAAATTGTTCTGTTTTTCAAAATAGAAGCATTTTAGAATATTTTATAAATAATTACAGTTAATATTAATATACTAAAGCTTTGAACCTGCTCATATGATTCCCAATAGAAATTCTGGGTTTCATAATCAGGAAATAAATGAAATTAGAAGAAAAAAAGCACATGTACATATAATTTAATAGCTACAAGGGAATATAATGTTAAACCCCATTTTCTAATCCTTTTAGAAAGATTTAGGGTCTTTAGTAAAAAAATACTGAAATATTGTTAATAAGTAAATAATATTAAAAATATAAATTATATAAAAATAAATAATATGAAAGAGACAATTTCTATTTTAACAGTTTATTTTGTTGTTGCTATGACATTACTTTCTCAAATTTGTAAGATATCCATATGCCTTGATTAACAGTACTTGGTTCTAAGCTTTGACCAAGCTATTATCACCCAGTAAAACACATGTATTATTTATATAAATTTTTAAATAAATTATTATTTGCCTTATTTATTCCTTACTAGCCGCCTAAGGCGCCCAGCTGTTCGCCAAGCTGAAGGTTTTCACAAATAAAGTTTTTTAAAACATAGCCGGAAATCTGAAGATTAGTGGACAATTAAAGTGTTCCTGTCCAGCAATTTTGTCTTCATATCCAGTTCTGCTGCAGATGTGTTATAGCTCTTGAGGATGTTTGAAATTATATAGCTACNTAACTTCATTTCATCAAGCATATATGCTTACCATGAAAAAAATTTATTTATATTTCTTTAAATAATTTTAAAAGAAATTTGACTTGAAACCATTTTACCACAAATAAATAAATAAAATTTTATAATCGTGTTTAGAAGAAAAATTTTTCACTATGAAAAAAAAGCTATTTTAGTATCACTAAACGAGTATAAGAAGGGATTTGCGCTATCGTATAACTACTATTTCGTATGAAAACAGTTTTATTTGAATAAATAGCGTTTTATTGCTTTTTGATTTGCATTTTTTTCAGTAATTTGAAAGCAAATTTGGCTTTAAAAACATTTGAACCATTATAAAAGAAAATAAAAGTATACAATCGTGTTTATTTTAAAGACGCTAGAGAACTTCAAATGTTTAGTATAGAAAGAAGAATATTCATCTTATAATACTTACTTCAGTGTTATGTGCTCACATTACTATTAATAAATTAGATTTCTTATGCTTTCGTAATTTATATTGATTCTAAATTTTAAAAAAAAAATTGCGATAATTTAAATCATACTGTAATGGATAAAAATATAAAAAACAACAACTTTAGATTACAAAAAAATCTATTTTGTCAAGTACATATTTCAAGAGTTATTAATATTATTAGTTCCTTATCATTGCCACATTAATTTTAATAATTTCTTAGTTCACATTATGCGTAATATATGATTTTACCTTCTTTTTTTATCAATTGTGCTAGTTAAAATTTAAATTTGATTTCAAGTAAACAGGAGGGAGCAAATTAGCTACAACTTTAATAAGGTCTTTAATTGAGCCTTGTTTCTATTGAATTCAAAACATAGTATCGTGCGTGTATTCAAGTATAGAAGTAAGATATTATGGTTTACAAAGCACCATCAAAAGATTGTTACGAAATGAAGAATATTATAGCTCAATACACTTAAAAATGCCAAACACTGTATCAAATCTTTGCATTGCTTGAAGCTATGCTTTTCAATTTTTTTTCTTACTTTTTAGCAATGTGAAATTAATTAAATAATGGGAGAATAGTACAACCTTAATAGTAGAATATTATAGTTTAACACGCTTAAAATGACCACCAATCTGACAAATTTTTCCGTGTTTGCCAGCTATTTATTTCTTGCTTTTTTTATTATTATTGTGAGATTGATTCCTTAATAATAGAAAAATTGAAGAGTAGAATATTATAGCTCAACAGTCTTAAAAGTTCCCAACATAATATCAATTTTCACAATGTCGGAATTTTAATTATTATTTTTTTATTGTTACAATGCGAGATTGATTCAATAGTAGAGTAGAAGAACTTTAATAGTAGAATGTTATAGTTTAACACGCTTAAAATGACCACCAATCCAACAAATTTTTCCGTGTTTGCCAGTTATTTATTTCTTGCTTTTTTTATTATTATTATGAGATTGATTCCTTAATAATAGAAAAATTGAAGAGTAGAATATTATAGCACAACAGTCTTAAAAGTTCCCAACATAATATCAATTTTCACAATGTCGGAATTTTAATTATTATTTTTTTATTGTTACAATGCGAGATTGATTCAATAGTAGAGTAGAAGAACTTTAATAGTAGAATGTTATAGTTTAACACACTTAAAATGACTACCAATCTATCAAATTTTTCCGTGTTTGCCAGCTATTTATTTCTTGCTTTTTTTATTATTATCATGAGATTGATTCCTTAATTATAGAAAAATTGAAGAGTAGAATATTATAGCTTAACAGTCTTAAATGTTCCCAACATAATATAAATTTTCACAATGTCGGAATTTTAATTATTATTTTCTTATTGTTACAATGCGAGATAGATTCAATAGTAGAGTAAAAGAACTTTAATAGTATGCCAACGCTCTTAGTAATGTCCAAAAGAGTTCAAAGTTTGTAATATTTGAAACTATGTATTTTAATCATTTTTGTCTTAATGTGAGACTTATTCAATAACAGTAGACAAATAGAATTTTAAAAGTGGAATATTTAACACACTTAAAAATGCACAACAGTGTATCAAATTTCTCAATCAAATTTTGCATTGTTTGAAGCTTTGCATTTTAAAATTTTTCTGTTACAATTTGAGATTGATACAATATGACATGCCATATTAAATATGACAATGTATGTTTTTATGCGCCGACCAGGTGGCCGAGTGGTTAGCGTGTCTGACTGCGGAGTAATTGGCAGCGGGTACGAATCCTGCTCAGGGCATGGGTGTTTCTTTCTCTCTCTGTGTTCTATGTCCTTTTCTTTTTGTGTGAATGTGTGAATGTGACCCGCCCTATAAACGGGTTTGTGGTTGTGTGACGTGGGAGAAGCTGCTCCACCACAGGTGCCCACTGTGTAACGAGAAGAGAGTAGCAGTTCTGGTATTTCTGAGGCCAATGGCACAAACCCCAAGTGCCCACCATTAAAAAAAAGTGTTTTAATGCAAGGATTTCAATTTTTTAAAACTAGGTAATTTTATAAACATTAGTTTTTCAGAATGAGTAATTTTTTTATAAAAGAGAAATACATCTTAATTATTAAAATTTGAAAAAAAAACTTACTAAAGAGACTAAAATTATGACAAAAGAAAACAATGACTGAAATATGAAATAAGATTCAGAAAACTCCGTTTTTGACATTAAGCTTTTTCTAGAAATTTTTTATTAATTTTTAAGATAAAAAATATCAAACTTTTAAAGAATCGAAAATGGTATAAGATGAAAAAATTCATACTAAATCAGTGTTCTTAGTAACTTCATTCTCTCAATGAATTCTTAAAATAAAATATACTTACGATTAACATCTAAAGTTATCGAAACAGATGCTGGCACAGTGATGTTATTATTGGAAGCCTGGCATTGTAAAACTGCTAATAAGTCATTTCTTTTCAATTCATCTATCTCTAATTCATTCCTTACTGAGTTGTCACCAGTTACAAATGTATAAGTATCATCCAGCAAAGCATAATCTCGCCACCACGTCACAGCTGGTCTTGGTTTTCCTACAAAAATAAGGAAAAAAAAATATATTAATAAAATTACAAAATTTGAAAAAGTAGTAACTGTAAAATAAGTTTTATTTAGTAACAATAAATCTATTCATAAGTTACACATATTTCCAAAATTTTAGTTGAAATAAATAAATCTAATGCGATATATTTGTTTATGGACAGTTATTGCGGTACCAAGAATATGGTTAGATGGTTCAGTGGTTCAAAGCACTGCTATTGCAAAATACGAGGTTTGTTCCTCAGTGTCTTCTTGAGTATTTTAGCAGAATTATATGGTTAAATTCACTCAGCTATCAATGCGAAGGACGAGGTTCGATCCTCGTAGTGGCTTGAAGCCCACTTATCTGCTTAAAATTTAAGATTAAATACATTCAGGATTCTTTGACATGATGCTCTTACTCGAGACCGATTCATAAAATGAACTTACCACAATCAAGACATTTCCTTGGAACTATCTCTTCAGGGGGACTGTAAATAAACTATTACCACAGTACCAATAGTGCGTATAGTATAGCAAACAGTAAATTAGTTCATCTATTAAACCAACAAGAATGTACATGCTCTTTATTAGGTAATAAAATTTACCAAAATTAATAAAGGATTGATAATTTAGCATTATTGTTTGGATAATGTTGGGCAATTTTGAAAAACCGTTATCATTTGAAGTTAAAAACTACATTGTAAATATTTACGGTTTCCCTTAAAGAACAAGTACATTTTCTTCGATTATTTTGTTTTCAGGTAACACATTTTTTTTTTTAAATTTCATCTACTAATGATTTTAACTTGGTTAATATAATAGAAACACTTTCTCAGAAACTAACTACAAACAAAATAAGCAATAGGCTTCAGATAACTTTAGGACTGCTAATTCTGAGACGTAGTTCTTATACGACATTCACTTTAAACATCGATATAATGAATAAAAATAATTAAACAATAAGGAACGTGCTTAAAGTATCCCTTTTCTTAATATACTTGAAAGCTAGCAAACGTCACTTAGATTTAAAATACATGAAAAAAGATACTTCTTTGACGTGATGTCTTTACTCAAAAACAACTCTTAACAATCAAAATTTACAAACAATTAAGAAATTTTCTACGGCACTTCCCCTTCAAGGGACTGTAAAAAACCTATTACCACAGTAACTATAATAAATACTGTATAATAATGTAGTAAATCTGTCTATTAGATATCTATTAAAGCATCAACAATATCCATAATACCTTCTACATAACACAAATTACTAAAATCAATAGAGCATTATTAGCGTCAATAATTGCATTGTAAAATTTTACAGTTCCCCTAAACAAATAAGTATCTTTTTTTGTCAATTTTGTTTTCAGGGCCCGAGTGACTTTAGATAGTTTTAGGTATAATAATTTTAGGACGTAGCCTTCACTTCCTATCAATTTTGATTATTGACAAGAAAAACGTGTAAAAGTATTATTTTGCATTGAATTGTGTAAGCTTACTTATATTTTAATTTAAATATATGTAAAAAAGCAGAATCGTCTGCAGTGTAGTTTAACACTGGTAGCTGCTATATCAATGAGAATACGGATTTTTCAAACTTTCCACCCAAGCAGACTGTGAAGGTTTTGAAATCTGTTAAATTTTTAAGCATACTTTTAGGTTAGGGGCTAATATTGCCCCTTGTACTCATTTAAAAAAAAAAAATTAAGGTAGTCAGCCCAAAACATTCCTTTTATATCAAAACAGACAACCGCTTCCTTTTATATAATAGAATCCCGAATAAAGGAATCATTACTATTGTAAATCCTAAATAATAATATTTAAACTAAAACACATAGTAATTTCGTATAAGAAGAGTAATTTGCTTTAAAAGAATTTTAAAACAGACTCAGTTTTAAACATAACATCGTCAAACGCTTACTTTTGATAAATGTAGAGTTTCTAGAAACAATTTTTAAAAACAGCCTTCTTCTCCTGTACCAGTAATGTAGCAGCTACTATCCGAAAGAATATCAAAGTTTAATTCGAGGATTACTCTTACTTTTAACTGATTCTTACCATGGAATAATAAATTTATTTGATTCACAGGACTTTTGATGGAAAAGAATAACCAATACTTGAAAAAAGGTGTAAAAGAAAAATTTTCTATACTCCCAATGTTTCAGAAAAACATAGAAAAAATAATGTATACTATTGGGATGCACCCCCTGCTCGCTAACGCTCGTCAACCCCCGAAAATCGCTACGCTATCTTATATGGTTTGCTTCGCAAACCAAGCTCGCTTCGTTCGCTAGATAACTTAGTCACATTGCAAATGCACAAATTTCTAAGAATTCAAAACAATCATTCAAATCCATATAACAACTTTTTTTTAAAACAAAAATTACATCTTTTTAGTAAATACTAAGTCATTAAAATAAATTTGAATTCAAATAAATGACATGTAATTCGTTAAACCTATTAGAAATGTGCTATAGTATAAAATCTTAAAACGTAACAGCACGACTGAGACTCATTTTTCAATGAATCACTAATAGCAATAATAAAACAAATAAATTCGTGATATAAATCAAAAATCGTGAAATAAATTCGTAATATATAAATTCGTGAAAAAAAGCTTTAGACAGAATACTAAAATAGAGATCTATCGACAAAGACTACTCACTTCTGCCTAGCTTAATAACGTGAGATTGCAGCAGCTGATGCTCTCTCTGGTTATTTCAGTTTCCGTTTTTAAAAGAGCTATATGTTGAGCCATCTCAGCTAGATTTGGCATGTGATATTTTTAGAGGCAATCATTGGTCGATTTTCTAGCGTTGCCATTCGGGGAGTTGTAATGAGGCTTTTTTTTTGTCGCCGAGTAAGAGAAATATATATATAGATTTATTCAGATATTCGAATAATTTATATTTATGCATAATTATATAAAAAAAAGATTTTTTTCAACAAAATATGCCGCATAATCGAATGAATGATTTTACTTTCGGTTATATTGTAGAATTTCAATTTAATATTTAAGATATAAAGTGCATTGATATAAGTACAATTTTAAAGAAAAGAAAGGAATTTTCTTACATACCGCATAAATTCTATTCGACTGTATGGGAAATCAGACTGTTTTAAACACAACAACAAACCACGATTTTTCTTTCTTTTGCAGAACAAAAAAGTTTTCGGAAAAATTTTAAAAAAATCTCTTTTCTCTTATGCCCGTAATACAGCAGTTACTGCAATGGGATATCCTCTTTTATTCTGAGGTTTATTCTTATTTTTAACAGATTCCTCCTATGGAGGAATTAATTACTTTGATACACGGAAATTCCGAACGAAAAGAATAACCAATACTCGGAAAGGTGAAAAAAAATATAATAAAGAAAGAAAAATATCTTTACTTCCCATAGAAAGATAAAATATATTTTTTTCTTATTCAGGTCTATCAATAATGATCAAAGGTACAAGGAATAAGAATAAAGAATGAATTTAGGGGGAAAAAAAGCCCCGTGGAGACGAGAAAGTTTTTTAAAAAGTATTTTATATCGAAGTTTTTTTATGAGCCGTAGTGTCTGCTACCTAGCACACGAGGAAAAAAATAGTTTCTTAAGAAATTAAGAAAACTTTAAGGTAATGTTAAAAAAGAACAACAGGAGATCCTTTGATTAAATTGCCTAAAAAATATTTATAATTTAAAGTCATTATGCTAATTATTTTGGGAGGGTTTTTTTCATCACCGCTGTAATTCATCAGTTAGAATAAATTAAAAGTTTATTTTTAATACTTTATGCTGCTAAAACATAAATCACTGTAACTGTCAAAATTACTCTGACAATTTCTACAATTCTTCAAAAGAATACAATTATTATTTGCTTGTAGAGTTTCCTGAATTAATAACATTCTTAACTCTTAGCTAAATTCATGTCTCTACTGTTAAGAATTTCTCCGAAAAATGGTTAAAAACATTTTATTTATTTATAGACTTTTACAATATTCAAACGAAATTGTCAAATTATCACAATTAAGATGGTATTCGAACTGATAATTGTAAGAAATACCGTTATGCTTTCTCCTAATACGGTAAAAAAATTAGAATTTTATCTCACCAACTTTTCCAGCATTAGTTCCTGGACGCTAGGGATATATTGTAGTCGAAAGAGTTAATCTGTCAAATTTATGACCAAAAGAATGGGGTTCGAGTCAGAACGTTGTCACCACAACATTTTCTCCATTCCCTACAACGGATGAAGAGCTTCTAGTGCCTTGCAATTCCCGATTGGTGACACAGGACTATTATAAAACAATACTCTCTTTCACGTGTTGATGGCAGCACCATCAACATTCGATGCTTAACCCAAAAAATTCTTGTAATTCACATCTCTTATGATAGCTATAGCAACTATCTAAACAAATTAAACTGTATTCCACGGTTCATTTAATAAAACTCAACTCAACCACAACCTAGCTATATTACCCATTTCCTAACAAAAATTTTAGCTCCAATGTACATTTAAATTTCTTTTTTACGGTTTTCAAACCATGTTAAATTCTATTGGTTAAAAATCCATAAGGTTTTGTAGTAGTTAAAACAATACTAGTTGTAAATGGTTTCAAAAATGTAAAGATAAGCAATGTTCTTTACTTTAAATTACATGTTTAATTGGATGGACAGACTGTTTCTGATAATTTTACGGTAATTTTAAAATGAAAATTCTAACAGTGTGGTTAAAAAACATTGAGTTACATGAATAATAACAGATTATTCAGTTTACAAAAATAAGTATTAAAACTCAAATCATTTATTTGAGATATGATGTAAGAGTCTAAGAGTAAAATTAACGTTAAGTGGTCCTCACTTTCATCCACTCTACTGACCAAACTTTTAGGACCACATTTTCTAGATTGTGACGATCTCCGACAACGGATTGTTCCAGACGGATTGGTCAAGAATCCAAATTCGTCGAAAAAAAGTCATCAATTCAGACAAAGTATGTTTCTGTGTTCGATTTTTTTAAATTAATAT